TCATCGCTTCATTCGACTTTGCAGAGCTTGCACTATCATTCATACCTGAGAAATCGATGGAACAGGCAAAGTAGACTGTGCAGGACCTCCAACTGGCAATGCACTAACAGAATTGCGTCTCTGCATGGCACTTCTGTAGAAGGTCCTTGGTTGGTCGGCTTGGTCGTTGTCACTTTTATGCCTAAGGAAATAGCAGTGCATTCTACAAGCAGCAGGAGTTCTGTTTTGTGAAGAAAGAGTTGGATCTTTTCCCAGTTGGTATGATGTTCTTTGTATAACTGTAATAATAGTTCGTCTTCTTCTGTGGTTCCATTGTCTTTTAGAACCATTATTATTAATCAAACAAATCATCTTCGTTTGATTCTTCGCCATCGTAGTCGTATCCATTTTGTTCTCGTATTGTACTTCTTCCTCAAGTTGTGATGAATTTTGAAGCTGTTTCTGTAACTTTCTGATACCATCTCGTTGCAAATTGTCGAAGCAGTCCTATTCGTGAGAACAGAAGAGGATCTCCTCGAATGAGGCACCTTTCATCTTCATGTTTATAACTGTGTTCTCTTCCTCTGCAGTCCATAGAAGAAAACGGTTGTTAGGGCGTAACAGGTTCACTTTGGGATGAATTTCATTGGAACTCGTTCTGTGTTGTCTGGAGATGCTGGTTGCTGGGACTGAGCTGGTTCATTCTGAATATCCTGCATGATAACTGACTTAGATAATGAATATGATCGGACTTTTTTACGAGAACTCTTTGGCAATCTGTATGTAAAGTCACCTGATTCCTCATCTGCTTGGAATGGAATCATGTTTGTCGTCAAATATTTAGGTAATAAAATATTATTCTCAATAACTTGAGAGAGTTTGGGTCGAATACTGTGGAAATATGCATGAAAATGGAATCCCAGTCATTTCCATATATCTTCCAGGCTTCGAACAGCATGTCATTGTTCTTTTCGTCAAATTGAAGATCAAATGACTGAGAATGTGAATAAGGAAACACCAGGTTGGGAACCAGAACTTTGATGATCCAACCTATGGAAAGTGTTCTTTGATCCGAACTTTTGGCTTTATTGTCATAAGATATTTGTTATGAATCTGAAAATGTTGCATAATTAAGCGCTTGCTGTGGCGGCCTGGAATTATAGCTGGCGATGGAATTCCAGTCGGAGGCCTAATTTGCGTATTTGGGTTACTAGGATTTCCTCTTCTTCATACGGACATCTTTTAGGATCTTGTTGTAGGTGCTTTGATGACTGATCTGCCTGTTTTTCGTCTGCCTGTACTTGAGATTTTTCTTGATTGCAAACAGAATCTAGTAAATTAAATACTTCTGAACTCTCATATTCTTCCGTTGAATTTTGTATTTCATGATTCATCGTAGTAATTAGACTGGATAGCGGGGAATTCTCTGTTGGCATTGGTTTGGGACTTGATGTAGCCGGTTGTAAGTCTGGTGAAGTGAAATAAATCGGACTTCGTAAATATCTGTTCACCCTTGAGACGTAATATTGCTTTTTTCAGTATCGTAATGGATATTCTAAGTATTGCTTTAACAACGTAGTGCGAAAAGCCCATATTTTTCCATAAAATTGTAGCTTTTCTTCAAAATCGGGAGGATCGTTCTTATATTTTTTCGATATTTTTACTTTTGGAGGCATGATTTTTATTGGGACAGCTGGCGTGCTCGAAGGTTTTGTTGTATTAGATATATTAATAATCTGATTATTCGTGTCTTTCGAGTTTTTCTGCAAATAATTGCCATGTTTTCTGGTATTTGTAGGGAACTTATAACGGTTGGATTCTATTATCTCGACATTCTAACAAATAGATGAATATATGATATAGGACATTTAAATTTTTTCGGCTATTATCGACTTTAGATCGACTGAACTAGTTATTTTGTAATCTGCAAAGTGATTAATTCATTGGTTGGCAATATAACGTGGATCTCCATTTAAAAACAAGAAGGAGAACCTATCGTCCTTATTAAATGCTTTTTGTAAAGTTCTCAAAATTTAAATTGTAAACTTCACATAAAAAAGTTATCAGATATAAAAAAAGGAAAAAGAGCAAAGTATCGTATTCTCCAACTTCATATGATGAACATAAATCAGTTTGCCCACACAAAATCTTATTGGTGCTGCTTTTTCCGAAATTTCCTGCGGTGAATTGACGATTTATTCAAATTTATTTTCTTTTCCAATCAAAGAAATTCCATTAAAATGACATCATTCTAACGTCCATTCCTTTTCTCAGATATAAAATTAAATAGGCAACTCAAATTATTAACTAAAATGTTCATTTTATATCAAACAACATAATTTCATTGAAAATTAATTCATTCCTTTTAGCCAGAATAACTGTATTGAAGGTTCTTAGCTGATACCCATCATTAATTATACTTTTTCTACAGCTTGAAAAGATAAATATTACCTATTTCCAGTATAAATACTCTAACTGATTAAATAAACATATCTTTATTAATGATTAAACAAAACTTTCTTTCTAAACACATTTAATAATATCTTTCAAATAAGCAAAGACAACATCGGCATTTTTTCTGTTTCCGAAATTGCCTTTTTAACATTCTCTGGTGTTATCTCATAAGATCCGCTTCGTTCAAACTGAATATACTTTGTATTGTTTCTCTCTGAACTTTAAATTGAAGATGTGGAGTAGGAGCAACATACATAATCGTTCCACGAATGAAATGCAGTAAGTACTGTTCATTCCATGATGATGGAACAAGAAGCAAATTTTGCATTTGACAAAATCGAAACAGTTTTCATTAAATGAAGTGTTTGTTTGCACGTATTCGATATCAGAAGTATTAGAAGCATCAATGAATACTGTGAATAGTTTAATAACCCCTGTAGAGTTCAAAATAACTAAATCGTGAACAGTTCCATTAACAGAAAGCTGTTGTTGTAAAGTTCTCTAATGTAGTAGTTATTTTTGGTTGAATGATATGTAGTTCGTCAAAACAAACAGAATCTTCTGGATTTATATAAACCATGCTTTCTTGTGCATCAAAAGCGTGTATAGTTGCTTATCATTGACGTAGAAGATGTTCATCATCTTTCCTGCGATAGAATTGATTTGATGCATCGGAGAATAATATCTTTAAGGTATTGATCGTATTTGGTGTATTTTTTTGGCGAAGAATAGTCTCGCTTTATTGATTTCGTAAGTTCCGTTGTTCCTCTTTATAAAAATCTTTGTAGTTATGATCAACAATTGAATTAAACTCTGACGTTTTTGGTAATTAAACGATGAAACCTCTCTATAGTTGACCAATGTGCTTTGTGAAAATGTATGTGTAGTGATCCGTTTTTAAAACAAATACGATTAAATTTAAGAGTTTCCAATTCATCATCGAGAACGTTCAATAATGTATTTGTGAAATAGTAGCCTGTCATTGACAATTGTATTCTCCTCGATTAGTGGTTCAAACATATACATAAAACTCATATTTAACCTGCCATAAAAGTGTGTGAAAATTTCACCATTGTACGCGTTCGATCTATTATCCTGAATCTTTAAAGGTATCGTATATTTAAAATATTTATTTTGAAAACCAATTTTCAATTGATCGTAAAATATTTGCACGAGTAACATCTAAAGCGCACTGAAAACGAAAGTACCAGTTGAATTTGTTTGTTTGACCTTGCTGAGTGAGATTGTATTCTTTAAAATGGAAGCAATTCTGTTACGATTTTTCAGGTAAAGAATTGAGTTTTTGATAAATATCTGTTTGATTAGTAATCCTATGATTACAGTTAGTAGCAATACCAATAGTATTGTAATCCAATATATTAAAACTCTCGTATCAAATGTATAAACTTTCATTTTTGAGAGAAAGTGACGAAGTCAAAAACGTGACAAAATCATGGATTTCAACAAGTCAACTCAGGCACGAAACTGGTTATTTTTCCCTGAAGAACTTGAAGAATTGAGGAGAGGCAACTACAATGAAATCGGAGAAATTGTTTCTTCTAATATTTCTTATGAAGATTATCGTGGATATATTCAATATTACGCAGACGAGTTACTTAAGTATGCTGCAAAGATTGAAATATGGAATTCATATCAAGTATATACAGCATTAGCTCTTTATCAGCGTGTTTACGAAGAAAAACAATTTGGGACATTCCTCCTCCATTGGCAATGATGAATGCCTCTTTATTGTTTGCAAAATATCATTCTTTCCGCAAATTAAATTCTCGAATATGGTCACGAGTTGCCAGGCTTCACAGAGCAAATAATTGACAGATTAAACACAAACGTACAACAGATTGCTAAATCTGAAGTTATCTGCCTTACAGGATGGAAATTCAATCTCAAAATCCATCTTCCTATCCACCATTTATATGGAATTGTTGATGGAAGACTCGATAGAGAAAGTTTTGAGAAATGCTTAGAATGTCTCAAACAAATTCTTCAAACAGATGCATTACTACTCTTCCCTCCAGGCCAAATTGCATTCGCTGCCGTTGCAATTACTTGCGGAATGGATACAGCAGTTTCATTCCTTCCTGAAGCCAAACAGGGAACAGATCCAAACGTTCCGCTGGTAGATGAATTGGCCCAAGTTACTGAGGCCATTCAAAACCTCAAGAAACCTGAATATGATCCAGCAAGGTGCATGCAAGTAGAAGAACAATATGGTATTGAATATGTTGTTCAGGAAACATTAACAAGGGCACAAGCTCAGCCAGAAAATCCAACAGAAAAATCAATTGTCCCTCCATCCGCTTAATTCTTGCTTATATATATCTTTAGAGTTACATGTTATAAATATATATATAATTGGATATATATAACTTCTTTTTATTTTTATGTCCTAATTTAGATTTTCCTAAAATACAATTTTTATTTTTCCAAAATCGAAAGTTATCGATTCAAATGACAAGCCAAGTTAGTATATTACTGTTATTAATACTTGTCATGCCATAATATCATCGTATAACAGCGTAATACATCATATAGAATATCAAATGATTGAAATATTTTGATTTAATACAATAATCATATACATCATCGTGAATAATAATCAACACATATTATGATGCTTTGTAATACCAATAGATAACAGAAGAATTGAGTAGAAATCATGATAAACAATGGCATTTTTAACAATTCAATAAGTTAATTTGGAAATTTAATGAATTTGTGAACTAGATATTATATTATAAGAGATTTATATTTTAGTAAAAAAATTATAAACGTGCATCACGAATTTGAAAAATGTCTGAGTTCATTGACGATGAGATAATTGCTGTCCCAACAGAGCTAAAAACTGTCTGGGATGACTTAGGAATAACTAATGAAGAACAGAAAATGCAATTCCTGAATTAAATCAAGCAATTATGCTGCAAAGCTACAATATCTTGAACAGATTAAAATCAGACGTGATAACATTCTTGAATCGATCAACCTTAGAAGACAAACATTATTTACAATTATTCAGGCCATTCCACATTCTGAAGAAGAATTGGAACAAATCAAGCAAATAGGATCTAAAGGAACTCTTCGTGAGAGGATCAGTAGATTTAGATAAGGCAGCTGAAAAAGTACAAACTTGAGTATGAACGTGCAAGTGCAAAGTTTATTGACATTAAAAATCAAACAGACAGATTATATGACAGACTCGGTTATACGATTTCTGATAGAGGCGAATTCGCCGAAATTGGTTATGTTGATCTTTCAGATGACAGATTAGCGAGGTTTAGAAAGAATTGGAATTACTCGAGCAAGAAACAAAGAACCGTGTTGATTACTTGATAGAAATGAAGAAAAGATTCGTGAAATTCTTGATGAACTTGATGAGCCAACGAATCCTCAAATTCAAGAAATATTCGACAAAAAGATCATTACACAAGAAGCATTTGGCGCAATGGGACGCTATTTTGATGAAATACAAGCTAAACGTCATGCTCACTCATCTACATACTCAGGATTAGCGCTTACTTTGACAAATCTTTGGGAATTACTCGAAATCCCTGAAGAAGAACGTAATAAGTTCATTGCGACTCACAATAAGCTCAGCAAGCAATCTCTTCAAGGATGTTACGAAGAAATTCAAAAATTATCTGCTTCTAAATTAGAACAACTTCCTCAGCTCATCCAACGCTCATATTCTCGTATCGATGCAGCCTTAAATATTCTCTATCGTACTCCGGCAGAAAAGAAATACTTCTTTCATCCGGTAAAGAATTGTACGACTGATATAGACAGATTCAACAAGCTTGAGGAAATTTCTGCTCGTTTACAGCGAGAACTTGTCATAGCTGCACCTGCTTTAGCAATGATTGACCAAAGATCTTCGATTATTAAGAATTTCAATGAATTCAAGGATTTGCAGAATGTTCAAAACCAAAAGCAATTACCAAAGGATGATCTGATTCAAAACATATTAAAATTGATAAAGCACAGAGAAGACATAAATTTGTACTTCCAAGGCTTGAAAAGAAGCTTTTACTTTCATTAATAGAGTTCAGACAAGCAATGGGATATGATCTCACTTATGATGGCGAAATATACGCAAGTAAATTACAAGTCGAATTATCTCATGA